TCGTTTCCTCCTTTTTCGAAGGTCTTCTGGTACAAGTGGTGTAAGACAGTGTGTAAAAAGCTTCAGTAGTCTATTATTCCATAAAGGCTGGGCAGGTAAAGAGAAAAGTTTCTCCACTCCTCCTGTCTCTTTCCACATCATCAATTTCTTGGTGGGTGGTGCCAGATCCAAAGTAGTCACAATATCAGAATAATCACTAAGTTGGGCTCTAATGGTTTTGCTATCCGATTCCTTGACACTGTCAACAATTAGCTTTCTCTTCCTCTTGGCTTTTGTTTCTTTGACTGTGATATCAATAGGTTCCAAAGCAAATGCTTCTTCCTCATTTGGAACAAGTGTCATTTGATCAGTTATAGTTGGCATTGGTTCAACAGGATCCACTGAATCAGGACTATCAGGCCCACCCATTGATACATTATCATCCTCATCCATATCATCATGTGTGGGCTGCTCGGGCAACATCACCCCTGTCTCAGAGAGAGCAGGGGGATCGTCAAAGATACCACCATCATTATTACTAATAAGTTTGTCATCTAATATACCACCATCATTTCCCTCTCCAAAATTGTCATCCTTTTATTGGTCTTCATATTCTAAACGGTTAATTTTCTCATTCAGATTGCTGGTGCTTTGCTCTGGCTCAAGCAAGAGGTTAGAAGCACTGGTGCTTACTAACATGTCGTCATCCTCAAAAGCACTGCCTTCTCTCATTATCTCACGATCATCCATTCCAAAGTCACCAAAATAATTTTCTTGTAGAATACTGATGTTCCCAACTTCTTCTCTCATGGTTATCTCTTCCACTCTACTCTGATTCAGGCTGAACTGCTGGGCCACATCAATGTCATCTAAGTCAGGCAGTGGCTGATCAAAGTCATGGAATTCTTCAGGTAAGGTAATGGCATTGTAAGCTGCTTCTCGGTTTTCCTCAGGCAGGTCAACAACACCTTGGGTGAAATGATACTCTCCACACTGCTCTCTAAATTACACTAGAACACATGGGCTTTGGTTAGCTTCTTATCCCAATGGGCCACTAGCCAAATTTTGGCCAGAGGCCCTCTTTTACTCAGGACAAAATGCGCTTAGAACATTGTTCTGGTTGACTACAAGACAGGAGGAAACCTTGCTCTCCGCGGGGAGTAGGGCCGGGTTGGGTGGTCCGGGGAGGGGAAAAGGGTCGGGGGAGGGGGTGAGGAAAGGAGGGAGCCCTTGTGAGGTATAGCTTCGGAGCAGCTCCCGCTGCCGCCACGGCTGCTGCCTCCTTTCCGATTCCAAAAAATTCTATTTCTTAAGTCAATCTCTGAAGGACAAGTACTGTATGAGCCCATTACTGTAAAGAGACAGAGAAGGGTTTGCTTGGGAAAGGGATCTCACCTAGTGCATTACCAGGATGGGGAGAGAAGGGGAGGGATTAATTTTGGGCTAGTTGGGGCCTACATGCTGATGTAGGTAGGGGGAGGGATATATGGGAAGGATATATGACCACCATAATAACATTGGGAAATGAGAGGACACTGAACTGTGCACATAAGAGATAGACAACAGATGCTAAAACCAGCCAATGTGTCCACAATACCACATTGCCATTAATGCAAAACACTAGGCTATACAACAAACACATAAACACCTGAGATGATCAGACAGGGGTCAGTGAACAGAGCTATACTCTAGACCAAGGATAGATTCAGCTGAGGCTAATCTTGCACAGACACCAGTGATACAAAATACCTGCAGTCCTTACAGAAACAATAGAAGACAGACACAGAGTAAAATCCTTCACAAACATCCTGACAGTATGGGAGAAAGATCCAATAGATCTACTGTGTCAGGACATAGTACTGGGGGACACCAGACTCAATTGGTACAACAAAATACATAAAAGCATTGCTCCACATCCTACACTGGTGAGTAGTGACTGGGGTCTTAAAAGCTTTCAAGCGGCCATCTAAGATTCAGCCAATGGTTTCCTAGTGTCAGAAGTGAAGAAGAAGGAAAACCAACAAACAAACAAACCAGGGGCATTTAGAAGCAATCAGCCCTAGGACATGGTGGTTCTCGGGACCAGAAGAACTGGATGGTGCCCGGCCACCAATGCCAACCACTCAGGAAAGGATCAAATCTGGAGATACTGGATAGAGTGGGAGGGAAAACGTGGAAGATAATCCAAAAACTCAATGATGACCAGAATTACTGGTCAGATGATATCTGGTGAGATTCCCAATACTATGGCCCTGGAATACATTCTGCGCCTGGAATAAAACTCACCCCCAGGGGTGAGCTCAGCCCAATAATTAACAAGATGTACACGCAGACCACTCAATCCAGGATGCTGCACCCACATACTCTATGGTAATACATCCCTTAGAGCAATAGACCATGGGACACTGGAGGACCAACATTCAAACTGAGGAAATGCAGGACAAACAGGAGTGCATAATTATGAGGGGCACAGGGGGAGGGTTGCAGGGTAGGGAGGGGAGGAGACTGGGTTAGGGTTGGACATGACAATGGGGAATGAAACTAAGCGTATGCGTTACGTTGAATGTAAAACAAGCTGTTAAAATAATATATATATATATTTTTTTAAGTTTTCTAGTAGCCACATTAAGCAAAATAAAAAGAAACAGGTTAAGTGAAAAAAAATCCATTTCTATTTGGTTGCTTTTACACAAACACTGGCAAAATGCTTCAGAAAGGAATAAAGTCAGTTATTTAAAGACAGTCTTCCTAAAGAATGCATTTGAAGTTCATATTTACTTTTGAACTCTGAAGGTATTATCAACTTAGAAAACATATAGTCTATATGTTGTTGTTGTTATGTGCCGTTGAGTTGTTTCCGACTCAGCGACCCCATGCACAGCAGAATGAAACACTGCCTGATCCTGTGCCAGCTCCATGATCCTTACTAGACTTGAGCCCATTGTCGCAGCCACCATGTCAATCCATCTCGTTGAAGGTCTTCCCCTCTTTTGTCGACCCTCCACCTTACCAAGCATGACATCCTAATCCAGGGAGTGGTCCCTTCTGATAACATGACCAAAGTAGGTGAGATGAAGTCTGGTCATTCTTGCTTCTAAGGAGCATTTTGGCTGCACTTCCTCCAGGACAGATCTGTTAGTTCAAGACTTCTAGTCTTGTTGATTTCTTTTTCTATTGTCTATTTTCCGTTTCATTTATTTCTAATCAAATCTTCATTATTTCTTTTTTTCTGGTGACTGTAGGCTTGTTTTTTTTTTTTTTTTTTGCGGTTCTTTTTGTAATTTTGGAGATGTTGGGTTAAGATGGTGATGGCTTTCTTCTTTTTTAATGATGTATGTATTTATTGCTATAAATTGGCCTCTGATCACTGCTTGTACTGTGTCCCAAAGATTTTGGTATGTTGTGTTTTCATTCTCGTTTGATTCAAGGAATTTTTTAAGTTTATTTTTTAATTTCTTCTATTACCAGTCACTTTCAAGGAGGGTGTTATTCAGTTTCAATGTGTTTGCTCTTTTTCCGTTCATCTTACTCTTGTTGATTTCTAATTTTATAGTATTATGATCTGAGAAGATGCTTTGCAGTATTTCAATGTTTTTAAATTTATTGAGGCTTGCTTTGTGGCCTAACATATGGTCTCTCCTGGAGAATGTTCCATGTGCAATGGAAAAGAATGTCTATTGTGCTGTTGGGTGAAGTGCTCTGTAGACATCTATAAGCTCAAGCTGGTGGACTATATTGTTTAGTTCTTCTGCATCTTTCTTGAGTTTCTTTCCAGTTGTTCTATTTTTCATTGAAAGTCTATTGAGGTCTCTTTTTTACTATGACTGTGGAATCATCTATTTGTCTTTTCAATTCTGTTAAAGTCTGATTTATTTATTTTGGGGCTCTTTCATTCAGTCCATAGATATTTATTGTGGTTATGTCCTCTTGTTCAATTGATCCTTTAATCATTATACAGTGTCCTTCTTTGTCTCTTATGGTGGCTTTTGTCTTAAAGTTAGTTTTATCAGAAATTAATATTGCCACTCCTGTTTTACGGTTGCCATTTGCTTGATATATCTTTTTCCAACCTTTGATTTTTAGTGTATTTGTGTCTTTGTCTCTAAGGTGTAGCTCTTGTAGACAGCCTATTGATGTGTTATGTTTTCTTATCTAGTCTGCAACTCTCCATCTCTTGAGTGGTGCATTTAATCCATTGATGTTCAGTGTAATTATCAACAAGTATGAATTTGTTGCTGTCATTTTGTTATGTGCTTTTGTATGGTATTGCTGATTTCTTTGTTCCATATAATTTTCTGTGCTGAGCTCATTTTGTTTATGAATTGTGTTATCACTTCCTTTGTTGCTACTGTTTTAGTATTTGCTAAATATTTGTGTTTGTCCTCTTTTTAATTTTGATGTGAAGGTTTTTCATTTTTCTTTGAGGTTACTCTATGATTTATAATTTTCTTCTCAAGTTTAGAACAATCTGTTCTATCTTGCAATTGTCTTGACTTCTTTACCACTTAGAAGTTCTGTAACTACAGAAGTTTTTCCCACTTTTTGGTTTGTAGTTGTCCTCATTTTCCAATTGATGTCTCTGGTTTCCAGTTTACAATCTTGTAGGCTTATTTACTTTGGATACTTCCATAACTAGTTTGGTTTCTGGCTTATATCATCATGTGTGTTAATGGTCAGTTGTTTGCTGATGTTGGTTCTCTGTCGAAAGGACTCCCTTTAGCATCTCTTATAAAGTTGGTCTGGTTTTAATAAATTCCTTTAATTTTTGCTTATCTGGAAATGTCCTAATTTCACTATCATATTTGAGGGACAATTTTTGGGGCTATATAATTCTTGATTGGAAACTTTTTTCTTTCATAGTTTTATATATACCATCCCATAATCTTCTTGCCTGCATAGTTTCTGCTGAGAAATCAGAGCTTAGTTTTATCGGTTGCCATTTGCAGGTAACTCTTTGTTTTTCCTGTGCTGCTTTCAGGATTCTTTCTTTGTCTTTGGTTTTGGTGAGTTTGATGATATGTCTTGTGATTTTCTTTTGGGGTCTAACCTGTTTGGGGTTTGTTGGAATTCCTTAATGGATATATTCTCATCTTTCATCATATCAGGGAAATTCCCTTCCAACAAATCTTGGACAATTTTCTCTGTGATTTTATTTGTCTCTTCCTGTTCTAGAATTCTGATTACATGCGGGTTATTCCTTTTGATGGCATCCCTCATGAACCCTAGCTCTCTTCATTTTGTTTTAATCTTTTTTTCTGTTTAATCCCTTTCCGAAGAAGTTTTGAGGTATTTGTCTTCAATCTCACTAATTTTGTCTTCCATTGATTTCATTCTACTCCTTTGCCCATTCAATGTGTTAACTATTTCTGAGAATTTAGTATTAATCTTCTGATTTTTTATCTGTAGATTCTGTATCATTTCTAATTTTTCATTTATTTCATCATTCTTTTCTTGCATTGCCTTCTGAAATTGTTCTAGGGTTTTATCTGTGTTTTCCTCAATTTTGTCAGTGTTTTCCTTGATCTGTCTCTCAATCTGTTGAAAGTACCTAAACATAATTCTTTTGAATTCCTTATCAGGGAATTCCAATGCTACTTCTTGCTCAGGGATGTGTTCTGGGTCTATATTCTGGTCACCTGTTTCGACTACTTTATCTTTCTTCTTTGTGTGGACTGTGATGGTCCATTGTCTCCAAAACATTGTGATATTTTTGTATTTTTATTTAATTGGTGATTATATGTTGGGGTGATTTACCCAAGATTTTCATCTTCTTTGTTTTGTTTGTATGTATCTTAGTAAGATGGGTACTGTGCTCCTCTTTTCACTAGTTGGCAGCATTTATGCACTTACCACCTTTCTCCTTTCCAGTCATCATCTTCCCATATGTCCATGCTGTCTTTGGCAAGTGAAGCATATTCTTAGGTCCCTGGAATCTGAATGAGAATGCCATCACTTTAATATAAAAAAATGGCTTGTAAACATTCAAAATGGGTGCACTGTCTGGACAGCTGAAAGTCCACAGCTCAGTTTGTCTCCTTCATTGCTGTTTCCCTTTTTAGTCATCAGTCACCAGCACACTTGTCCATGCAGACCCTGGTGAGCAGGGCTGATTTTTAGGTTAATTCTCAGGTCCTAACACCACTTGGAAATATTCAGGCTGTCCATGTCATCAGGATAGGTGACAGTCTGCAGCTCTTTTTGTCTTCTTAGTCACTGTTTTCATTCAGGTTATTCCACTAGTTGGTGTTTAATCTACTTCTGTATCCTTCCTTTCAAAGCACAGGGCTCCAGAATTATCTTCTGTATCTGTGTCAATCAGTTTTCTTTTCTTTTCTTTGTTGAAGAGGGTCTGTGTAGCTTGTCTGCCTATTCTGCCATCTTACCAGAATTTGCAAAAGTTGTTTTTGAGAGATACTTTCTTTCTATAACTTAAGTACCTCCAAATTCCTCCTCAATCAGCTCTGCCTGGGGACAAGAGAAGATGCTGACAGGAGAGACACCCAAGGAAGTCAACTTGAACATCCTGTCAACCTGCAAGCAAGAACATCTTGTCAACTATTTTAATGGTTGCCTCATTGCCAGTGATGTTGTGCTGGGGTAACTTTACCTTGTCAAATGCTCCTTATCAGTAGTTCTGAGCAGGGCTCCAGGACTATCTTCTGTGTCTCTGTCAATTGGCTTCTCTTTTCTTTGTTGAAGAGGGTCTGTTTGGCTTGTCTTCCTATTTCACCATCTTACCAGAAGTCTGTAAGATGAATATTTGTTGAAAGCAAAGAATGCCAGAAAGATGATTACTTGTGTTTTCTGACTATATAAAATCATTTGACTGTGTTGGTCATAACAAATTATGAATAACATTGTGAAGAATGGGAATCCCAGATCACTTAATTTTGCTCATGAGGAACCTATACATAGACCAGAAGGCTTCATTTGAACAGAAGAAGGGGATACTGCATGGCTTAAAATCAGGAAGAGAATGTATCAGGCTTGTATCCTCTCACCATGCTTATTCAGTCTGTATGCTGAAAAATAATCTGAGAAGCTGGACTTTATGAATGAAAACAACTTCAGGATTGGAGGAAAACTCATGAACAGTCTTTGATATGCAGGTGATAGAACCTTGATTGCTGAAGATTAAGAAGACTTGAAGCACTTACTGATGAAGATTAAAGACTACAGTCTGTGGTATGGATTACACATCAACATAAAGAAAACAAAAATCCTCACAACTGAATCAATAAGCAGCATCATGATAAATAGAAAAAGATTGAAGCTGTCAAAGGTTTCATATTACCTGGATCCACAACCAACTCTAATGGGAGCAGTAGTCAAGAAATCAGATGATGTATTGTACTGGGTAAATCTGCTGCAAAATACCTCTTTAAAGTGCTGAAAAGCAAAGATATCTCTTTGAAGACTAACCAAACCAAAGCGAAACTCACTGCTGCCGAGTTGGCTCATAGTGACCCCTCCTTGGGTTTCTGAGGTGGTATCACTATAGAAGTAGATTGCCCAATCTTCCTTCTGAAGAGTGACTGGTGAGGTGCACCTAACCCAAGCCATGATATTTTCAATAGCTTCATATGCATGTGAAAGCTGGACAACGAATAAGGAAGACCAAAGAAGAGTTGATGCTTTGGAGTTGTGGTGTTGGCAAAGAATAATGTAAGTACCAGAGACTGCCAAAAGAATGAGAAAATCTGTCCTGGCAGAAGTGCAGCCAGAATGCTCCTTGGAAGTGAGAATGGCCAGAGTTCATCTCACCTATTTTGATCATATTGTCAGAAGGGACAATTCCCTGGAAAAGATATCATGCTTTGTAAAGTGGAGGGTCAGTGAAAAACAGGAAGCCCCTCAATGAGATGGACTGACACCACGGCTGCAAGGATGAGATCAGGTATAGCAAGGATTGTGAGTATGGCATATGACCAGAGAGTTTTTCATTCTGTAGTACATAGGGTTGCTATGAAGTGAAGCCAACTTGATGGCACCTAACAAATTATAATTTTGCAATAGCAACTAAAAAAATATATATGTATGTGTGTATGTGCCTAGGTATGTATGTTGTTGTTGTTGTTATGTGCCGTCGAGTCAGCCCTGACTCATAGTGACCCCTCCTTGGGTTTCCGAGGCAGTATCACTACGGAAGTAGGATTGCCCAACCTTCCTTCCGAGGAGTGGCTGGTGGGTTTGAACCGCCAGCCTTCTGGTTAGCAGTCAAGTGCCTTAGCCACTATGCTACCAGAGCTCCCTAGGTATGTATATGGGAGTAAATACACAGGTGTATGTATATACAAATGCATATAATGTATGTGTGTGCATGCACATATATTCATATATATATATATGATAAGGAGCTCTGGTGGTGTCGTGTCTACGGCCTTTGACTGCTAACCAGAAGGCTGGTTGTTCAAACCCACCAGCCACTCCTCAGAAGGAAGATTTGGCAATCTACTTCCATAGAGATACTGCCTCAGAAACCCAAGGAGGGGTTGCTATGAGTCGAATTGACTCGATGGCAGAGATTTTGTTATATATATGATAAAGTATATAGGGAGCACAGTTACTGATACTACTCAGACATAACCAAACACCCCACAGAATTGGTTTTCTGGGTTTGAAAGATTAGGACCATAGTCACGTGGGACAGCTTGGTCAATTGGCATAATACTGTTCATAAAGTTTATGTTCCACATCCTAATTTGGTGAGTACTGTCTGGGGTCTTAAAAGAATGTGAGCAGCTATATATGATATAACTATTGGTCTCTACTTATCCAGAACAAAAGAGATAGAAAAGAAACTGTTCTACAGGTCTAACATGAACCATAGCCTCATCGTCCCTGAGACCAAAGAACTAAATGGTACCTGGCTACTACTTCCAATTGTCTGTCAAGGGTCACAATATATCAATACTGATGAGAGAAAAATGTGGAACAGAACCTCAAACTTTTAAGAAATCCAGAATTATTGGACTAGTTGAGACTAGGGGACTCCCCAAGACTATTGCCCTGAGATGTTCTTTAAACCTTGAACTGAAAATATCCCCTAAGGTAACCTGTTAGCTATATAACAGGCTAGCTCACAAAATAAAGAAAATCACCTGTGTACTATAATACTCTAAAAAATCACATATTAGACTAAAAGGTCAATAATTATTTTTTTTAAAAAAAGAAGATAGCTAAGCGGGCAGGGAAACCAGATTACTGAAAATACCACATCCAGAATGGAAATTATGAGAATGTTCACATATTCTGGAAAATATAACCAATGTAAATGAACAATCTGTGTAGGAATTGTTGAATGGGAACATAATCTACAGTATACACTTTCACTGAAAACATGATAAAATATTACTATTTAAAAAAAAATGTTAAAAGTAAACTTATCATGTTAGCTAGCAATTCTGCTCCTAGGTATTAATCCAAGAGAAATGAATACTTAGAATACTTATATCCACACAAACACTTGAACATAAATGTCCATAGTAGTGTATTAGTTAAGCTTATGTGTCAATTTGGCAGGACCCGTGTGGTAGTTAAGTTTGTGTGTCATCTTGACTGGGCCTGGTTGAGTGGCTGGGCAGCTGAATATACCCCATGGTGAGACTGGTAATTAACTACATGGTGGAATCTATTGGAGCAGCTGAATAGCTGCTTTGGCTATGTGGTCTGCTTCCCATATATAAGAAGCAGTTTTGAGAATGGTCTCCAGTTTATGGCACACTTGAACCCTGCATGTAGCTGTGTCATTGTTCAGCAGCCTGCCATGCTCTGCCAACCTTGGGACTTTCAATGGACTTGAATGAATGGCCTGCTATGTGGTTTGGCAGCATCAGAACTGTGCCTTTTTACTTGTCAACCTTGGACTTGGAAGCCTCAGCAGCCAGCAGCTGTCTGAGTGAAGAACAGCCTCTAGCTTCACTGGGCTGGGAGCAGGAGGTAGAGCTGAAGCCAAGGTTCAGGGAATTTCACTCACCCCCTAGAGTCTGGCACTTTGAACTCAGACTTAAAACCTCCAAACTGTAAGAGAATAAACTCCTGTTTGTTCAAGCCATCCCATTTGTGGTATATTCTTGTCAGAGTGGCATATAAGTCACCAGAACAAGCCGATTTTAAGTGGCTGGGCAGGTGGATGTGATTATTCCCAATGGTGAGACTGATAATCAGCTCCCTGGTAGAAACCAGTATATAAGAGGAACCTTTGAGAAAAGTCTCGAGCTTTCTTTGCACATCTGGATCCTGCATTTGGCCGAGTCTTCATCTCAGTGGCCTTCCATGTTGTCTGCCGATCTTGACACTGTTTCTGGACTTGAACTGGTGGTCTGCCATGTTGCTTGATAATTTGGGGACTGTGCCATTTTGCTTGGAGACCTTGGATTTGTCAGCCTCAGCAGCCAGGAGCTGAGTTAAGAGAAGCGTCTAGCTTCAGTGGGCCGGGAGCAAGAAGCAGGGCTGAAGCCCAAGGTCAAGGGGTCTTCACCCAGCCCCTAAAGATAGCATTTTGAACTCGGACTTCTAGCCTCCTAAACTGTAAGAGAGTAAATCCCTGTTTGTTACAGCCACCAACTTGTGATATCTTCTGTTAGAACAGCACTAGAGGACCAAAACAAATGGTATTATTTAAAATAGCCAAAAAATGCAAACATGTCCATTAACTAAAGAATGGAAAATAAATTTTGATGTATCTATTTAAGAAAAAAAGAAAAGAAAAAATTTCAAGAATGTCCATGATTCCCTAGAATAGTTCTATGGTAAATATATCTTCAGACAATGATCTGAAAAATTTTCTATTGTATGCACCCAGGAAAGACAAATTAATATTCTAGATCAGAAGCAAAATAAGCATGATAGCCAAACAGCTTGACACAATGCATGTTTTTCCCTTTTTTATTATGAGAGCTATTTGTTAATCATTCACAAAAGTAGGCAAACAGGTCTTTGTTGCTAGGTGGCCATAGAGTCAGCTCCAACTCATAGTAAACCTATGAACAACAGAATGAGAAACTACCCAATCCTGCACCATCCTCATAATTCTTGCTGTGCTTGAGCTCATTGTTGCAGCCACTGTGTAAATCCATCTTATTGAGGGCCTTCTCTTTTTTTGCTGCCCCTGTACTGGCGCAGTGCCTAAGGCATTTGACTGCTAACCAGAAAGCTCATGGTTCAAACTCACCAGCCACTCCTCACAAAGAAGACTAGGCAATCTACTTCTGTTGTTGTTGTTATGTGCTGTGGAGTCAGCCCCGACTCATAGCGACCCCTCCTTGGGTTTCCAAGGCAGTATCACTACAGAAGTAAGATTGCCCAACCTTCCTTCTGAGGAGTGGCTAGTGGGTTCGAACCACCAGCCTTCTGGTTAGCAGTCAAGTGCCTTAGGCACTATGCTACCAGAGCTCCTTAAAAGAGATGGTCGGCTACCTGGTGGGGAGTGGCTGGTGGGTTTGAATGGCCAACGTTGGGTGTGGCAGCTGACTGCCTGAGGCCCTGAGGCCATCCCCAAGGGCCCAATCTACTTTCGTAGA